ACATTCTGACCAATAGAATTCTTTCCTTATAAGAAGTTGGAAAAAAAACTAAGGAAAAATGAAATCTCTAGAACCCCCGCGACGCGATTCGAATTGAAACCCCGCCGCAAAGGATTTCAATTGGAAGCCTTTCACAAAGGGAAATTAAATATGGGAAAACATAAAAGAAACCAAAACCATAGAAAACATGAAAAAACTGACATCTCCAGAGCCCCCACAAAAGGGATTATACTTGTAAGCCCGCCACAAAGGATCTCAATTGGAAACCTCTCACACAGGGAAACTAAGTGTAAACCAGCCACAAAAGGCAACAATTGTAAACCAGTCACAATTGCAATCTAAGTGTAAACCATTCAATTGCATTGAAATGTAGTATATAGGAAACAGACGACAAGCTGAAACACTTGAAACATATGAATTGAAACAGTTGGAAAAAACATTGAAACCTCCTGAACCCCCACAAGAGGGATTCGAATTGTAAACCCGCCACACATGATTTCAAGTGGAAACCTCTGACAAAAGGGAGAATAGCTGCAGCACAGCAGCCACAAAGGGAACTTCATTGTAAACCTCCCGCGCACGGAATCGATTGGAAAACAAATGAAAAATGATGAATTGGAAAAATTGAAATCTCCAGAACCCCACAAAAGGATTTGAAATACAAAGCCACCACAAAGGATTTCAATTGGAAGCCTTGTACAAAAGGGAAACTAATCGCAAACCAGCCACAAGGGGAGCTTAATTGTAAGCCGCCCACAAATGGAATATCTGGGAAACCAAATGAAGAATTGAACAATGGAAACCTAAGGAGAAAACAGCTGGGAATAAACAAATAACATGAAACAATCGAATCTCCACAACCTCCACGAAGAGAATATTAGGTGTGAGCCTGCCACAAAGGATTTCAATTGGAAGCCTCTCACAAAGGGGAATATAATCGTAAACCCGCCACAAAAGGAATCGAATTGCCAACCCCATCATACAGGGATCAGTCCTCCTCCCACCGTCCTCTTTGCGGTGTACCAACGAGGGCTCCTGATCCCACTACTACCATTACTACTACTACTACTACTACTACTACTACTACTTCTATTACTACTACTACTACTACTACTACTACTACTACTACTACCAATACTACTGCTACTACTACCACTACCACTACCACTACCACTACTACTACTACTACTACTACTACTACTACTACTACTATACTACTACTACTACTACTACTACTACTACTACTACTACTACTACTACTATTAGTACTACTACTGTTACTACTACTACTACTACTACTACCACTACTACTACTACTACTACTACTACTACTACTACTTCTACTAATTTACTACTACTATGAACTACTTCTACTACTACTACCACCACTACTACTACTACTACTACTACTACTACTACTACTACTACTACTACTGCTGCTACTACTACTACTACTACCACTACCACTACTATTTCTACGACCACTACTATTACTAGTACTACTACAACTACTACGGCTACTACAACTACTACGGCTACTACGACTACTACGACTACTACTACTACTACTACTGCTACTACTACTACGGCTACGACTACTACTTCTACTACTACTACTACTACTACTACTACTACTACCACTACCACTACCACTACCACTACTACCACTACGACTACTACTACTACTACTACTACTACTCCTACTACTACGACGGCTACTACTACTACTACTACTACTACTACTACGACGACGACGGCTACTACTACTACTACTACTACTACTACTACTACTACTACTACTACTACTACTACTACTACGACTACTACTACTACCACTACTACTACGACGGCTAAGACTACGACTACGACTACGACTACAAGGAGATGGTATTTCTGGGAGCCGTCCGGGTTCCCTTGGGGCCACATTGGAGGCCAGTGACCAAAGAGAGAGAGCAATGGCGGGATAATTGTTTTCTCCTTGTTTCAAAAAAAAAAGCCTGCATCTTGGGACTCGTGGGGTGCTCTGGTGGACCATTTTGGGCCATCTGGAGGGCATTTTGAGACCTCAGACGCCCATCGGAAGCAAAACGGGAGAAGGCCAAAGGTTAAAAAGTTCCCCAATCAGAGCTTGCCTCTGTAGGGGTCCTGGCGGATATTCCCCAATCAGAGCTTGCCTCTGTAGGGGTCCTAGCGGATATAAAGCTGAGGTGAGGTGAGCGGCCGATTTCGGTGGCCGGGGCCGGGTGCCCGGGTGCCCGGGGGTTCCCGGGGGTGCCCGGGTGCCCAGGTGTGTGGCCGATTTCGGTGGCCGGGTGCCCGGGGGTGCCCGGGGGTGCCCGGGGGCCCAGGGGTGCCCCGGTGCCCGGGGTGTCTAGAAGTGCCCGGGGGTGCCTAGCCCAATAGCCCTATATCCCTATAGTCCAATAGCCCAATCGCCTTACATCCCTATAGCACTATAACCCTATAGCCCTATAGCCGTACCTGTACGACCCTATAGCCCTATAGCACTATAACCCTATAGCCCTATAGCCCTATAGCCGTACTGATAAGGAGGTTCGGGGGGGGGAGCCAACGTCTCACTCGATCGGTCTCACTATCGATCTCAGTATCGATCTCACTATCGGTCTCGCTCGATCGATCTCACTCGATCGATCTCACAATCGATTTCACTCGATCTATCTCATTCGATCGATCTCACACTTGATCTCACAATCGATCTCACAATCGATCACACAATCGATCTCGCATCCGGTCTCAATATCGATCTCATTATCGATATCACAATCGCTTTCACAATCAACGTCATCATCATCATCATCATCAACATCATCAGCATCAACATCATCACCAACATTGTCGTCATCATGAGGGCACCGTCATCATCATCATCATCATAAACATCATCAGTAACGTCAGCATCTTCATCGGGACAACAACATCATCATCACCATCATCATATCATCATCAACATCATCATCGGGACACAGTCATCGTCATCATCAGCAGCATCATTATAATCATCATCATAATCGGGACACCATCATGATCACCATCGTTCTCATCATCAACATTATCACCAACATTGTCGTCATCCTCGGGACACCATCATCATGATCATCGCATCATCATCGACATCACCATCATCAACAACATCATCATCATTGGGGCACCGTCATCATGAGCAACATCATCATCAACATCGTCATTATCATTATTATCATCATCGGGACACCATCAGCATCACCATCATCATCATCACCATCATCATCATCAGCATCATCATCGGGACACCATAATCATCATCAACATCATTATCGCCAGGACACCATTTCCATCAACATCATCATCACCAACATCATCGGAACCATCATCATCATCATCGGGACACCATAATTCTCATCATCATCATCAACATACTCAGCATGAACATCATCATCCTCATCATCGGGACACTATCAGCATCACCGACACCATCATCAACATCATCATCACCTTCATCGGGACACCATCATCATCATCTCATCTTCAGCATCATCATCATTTTATCATCATCATCATCATCATCATCATCATCATCATCATCATCATCATCCGCGCGGGACACCGCAGGACATCGGCGGGACACCGCGGGACACCGCGGGACACCGCGGGACACCGGCGGGACACCGCGGGGCCCCGCGCCCCGGATGAGAAACATTTGGTCCGGCCGCGCCTCAGCCACAGGAGGACACCGCGGGACACCGGCGGGACACCGCGGGACCCTGCGCCCCGGAAGAGAAACATTTGGTCCGGCCGCGCCTCAGCCACAGGAGACTTTTTCTCGCCCGCCCACGCAGTAGCCCAATAACCCCATAGCCGCATAGCCCCATAGCCCTATAGGCCTATAGCCCTATAGCCCTATAACCCTATAGCCCTATAGCCCTATGGTCCTAAAGCCCTATAGCCGTATATGGTCCAGGGTTTGGGCCCCCCCCCCCCAATGCTGATGCCATTGGGCCCCCCCCCCGCGCGATGGTCCCCCCCGCCCCCCCCCTGTGGGCGTGGCGTGGTGCTGCGCTGCGGTTCCCACCCCCCCCTGTGGATGTGGTGTGGTGCTGTGGTGGTTCAGAGGTGGGCGTGGCGTGGTGTTGCACTGCGGTGCCCCCCTCCCTCCCCCTGTGGATGTGGTGTGGTGCTGTGGTGGTTCAGAGGTCGTCGTCGTCGTCGTCGTCGTCGTCGTCCTCGTCGTCCTCGTCGTCCTCGTCGTCCTCGTCGTCCTCCTCGTCCTCCTCGTCGTCGTCATCGTCGTCGTCGTCATCGTCGTCGTCGTCATCGTCGTCGTCGCCGTCGCCATCGTCGTCATCGTCGTCGTCGCCGCCGCCGCCGGCGTCGTCGCCGCCGCAGCCGTCGTTGTCGTCGTCGTGGTCGTCGTCGTCGTCGTCGTCGCCGTCGTCGCCGTCGTCGCCGTCATCGCAGCCGTCGTCGTCGTCGTCGTCGTCGTCGTCGTCGTCGTCGTCGTCGTCGTCGTCGTCGTCGTCTCTGGGACCATACCATCTGGGGGGGGGGGGGGCCCGAGGAATCCTGGGACCATACCATCTGGGGGCGGGGGGGCCCGTGGGCCCTCGACCCTGGATCATATATAACCCTATAGCCTAAAGCCCTAAAGCCCCATAGCCCCCCCCGAAATTCAGATTGGGTTTTTTCTCTGGTATCATATTCTTATGTGTTGCGGTGAGTTTTGCCGCTTGGAGGCTTCGTTGGTTAGCTCACCGGCCACGTCGAGCCGCCATAGGGGGGCAGAATTTTGGAGCCCATCTGGAGCACTGTTGGACGTTCTACCGCCTCGCGGCCCCCCTGAAAAGACCCCGCGGGAAAGAAGAGTTACGCCAGACCACCTAAGCACACCCTTATTTACAAGGGGGGCATTTGCCCACGCCCCCCTTTGCAGTGCTCATCGCCATCGTCGCCATAATATTGGCACATAGCCATTCAGGCTCAATCATTGATGCTTTGGCTCGAAAATGGCAGAGCCGCGTCTGATCGATACCGTGGGCGAGTGCCAAGCGGCTGTGGCGCAGCTTGAGACAGAGAATGTGATTGCCGTCGACATCGAAGGCATTGATTTGGGCCGTCAAGGCGAAGTTTGCTTGATCCAGGTGTACGGCGTATCCAGTCCCAGCGTCCTCTTGTTTGACGTATTTACAATGGGACCAGATGCGTTTGATTCTGGCGGATTGCGACGATTATTGGAGTCCGACACTGTGACGAAGCGTATTTTCGACGTCCGAGCGGACGGCGAGGCCTTGAACAATTACCACAATGCGAAGCTACGAGCTGTTTAGGATGTCCAGGTGATGCGGCGCACCTTGTTCCAGCATCCCGACGATCCATATCTGAAAGGCTTGAAGAAGATCCTTGAGAAGCATATCGAGATCTGTCATGAGGAAGCTGCCTCGGTTCAGCAACTCAAGGAGGACGGTCTGCTCTTGTTTGCGCCCGGGCATGGTGGCAAATACGACGTCTGGGAGCAGCGGCCTCTCCAACCTAAGTTGATAGAATGCGCTGCCGCTGATGTTAGGCACTTGGCTGGAATGAAGTCTCAATGCGCCCTCGCGACGCGAACAGGTCCGACGCTCTCAACAAGTTCGTATTTGATACCAGCTTCCAGAGGCTGCAGAAATTTGCGAGGCTGCCACCAGCAGAGGCGGCTGACCAAGCGAAGAAGTTCCGCGATTTTGAGCTACCCGCCATCTATTCCCCCGACTGCTTCAACGACACATGCCACGTGACCGGCGAGGTGCACTTCCCACCACAGCTGCGGGGCGAATTGGCTGGCAGAAGCGGGGTGCAGATCGAGGAGATCAAGGCCGCCACGGGGGAGCAGGTGCTCACGTTCGAAAGCGGCGTGGCGCTCATCATCGGGCCGCCGGATCGAATCGCGGACGCTGCGGCCATGGTCAGGGCCAGGGTCGAAAACGTCCCACGCAGGGCGTTGACCTTGCCAGCCGGGGCCCAGCCCAGCCGGGTGCTGGGGCCGAAGGGCGAAACGATCAAAGGGATCAAGTCCCGGAGTGGAGCGGTCGTTTTTTTCGACACCAACACGAGCATAGTGGTCCTCACCGGCACAGAGGATTATGTCGAAATTGCTGTCAAAGAGGCCACGGCGCCGTTCGATGAGGCAGTCTCTTGCAGCCAGGAGCTGACCCTGCCAGCTGGAGTCCAGCCCGGCCGCGTGCTGGGGCCCAGGGGCGAAACGATCAGAGAGATCAAGTCCCGGACCGGAGCGCATGTAATTTTCGACAACGACACGCGCAGAGTAGTCGCGACTTGTACACAAGACCAGGTCGAAGTTGCCGTCACCGAGGTCGCCGCGCCGTTCGAGAAGGCCCCCGCCCTTTCTTGCAGGCAGGAAGTGGCCTTGCCAGCCGGTGTCCAGCCTGGGCGTGTGTTGGGGCCCAGGGGCGAAACGATCAAAGGGATCAAGATCCAGACAGGATCATTTGTAGTGTTCGACAGAGACGCGCAGAGTGGTCGCGACTGGCACAGACAACCAGGTCAGAGTTGCCGTCGCGCAGATCAGAGCCCTCATCGAGGGGTCACCTGATCAACAGGAGTTCAGCGTGCCAGCCAGGGTCAAGCCTGGCAGCCTGCTGTGGCTCAGAGGCGAAACGATACAGGTGATCCGATCCAAGACAGGAGCACGCGCAGTGTGACCGTGACCGGCACGGCAGGCCAGAGCAGAGCTTCCGTCAGATAGGTGCAGGCCTTGGTCGAGGAGGCGCGCGCGGAGCACTGCAAGCCGGGGTCTTCCTCAAGCAGCTGCCCGTTCAAGTGGTGCAGGCTAGCTCAGAAGCGCCATGTGCGTAGACAATGAGACGTGCAGGGTGGGCATGGTTGGCCATAGGGATCAAGTTGCAGCTGCCGTCAGGACAGTACAGGCAGCAATCCAGGAAAAATGGTAGCCGTCAGCGGCGAGGCAGATCAGCTACAGGCCTTGCTCCAGCGACGCCTGAGTGGCAGCCTGCGGCGTCCGGCCAAACCCGCAGGTGACTTTTCTCAGGCCGCCCTCCACCTAGCCACCCCCAGGAAGCTTCCTTGGGCAAACGCCGCCCGTGACAGTTTCGGCCAAGGCTGCGCGCGAAAAGGGAAGTGCGCAGAGGAGGAGGTGGCAGGATTTCTCCAAAGCCCCAAAAATGTTCAATAACACGTAGAAGCGCTGCGGAGGAGGAGGACGAGGACGAAGAGGAGTGAGGTGGGATGATGCTGCTGGTGTTGCTGCTGTTGCTGTTGCTGATTGTGCTGATGATGTTCATCATCATGGCCATGATCAGGATCATGATCATTATGAAGATTATAAGGATGATGGTGATGATGATGTTGATGATGATGTTGAGGATGTTGTTGATGATGGCGATGATGGTGGCGATGGTCATGATGACACTGATTGTGATGATGGTGCTGGTGTTGATGATGTTGATGATGGTGACGACGACGATAAGGATGATGGTGCTGATGAAGATGATGAGTACGATTGCTATGATGATGGTGGTGGTGATGATGGTGGTGGTGAGGCTGATGTTGATGATAGTGATGTTGATGATGATGGTGGTGGTGGCGATGATGCTGGTGCTGATGCTGATGCTGATGATGCTGGTGATGATGATGGCGATGGCAAGGATTGTGACGATGATGGTGGTGTTGGTGGTGGTGATGGTTGTGATGGTGGTGGGGATGGTGGTGGTGATGGTGTTGGTGGTGATGGTGCTGGTGCTGTTCATGGCGATGGTGATTGTGATGGTGATGATGATGATTGTGATGTTGTTGCTGCTGATGATGAGGATGCTGCTTATGATGAAGAAGACAGTTAGTAAGATGGTGATGGTAATGCTGGTTATGCTGATGATGAAGAGTATTATGCTGCTGATTGTGATGTTGATTATGATGCTGCTGTTGTTGATAATAATGATGCCGATGATGATGATCACGACGATGGTGGTGATGGTGATGGTGATTCTGGTGGTGGTGATGGTGGTGATGGTGACGACGACGACGAGGACGAGGATGAGGAGAAGGAGGAGGAGGAGGAGGAGGAGGGGGCGCAGCAGCTCCGAGACAACCCCGAGGTCACTGGGGGATGTTCCAGGCAGCTGTTTCGCTCGGGGTTCGCCTGCCGCCACAGGGCCTGTCGCGGGAGGTCCGACGCGGGGGGAGGCATCCCCAGCCTCCCCTCCATCTTGGAGTCGGCCGATGGCCTGAGGTGGCCCAGCATTGGTTCTGGAAAGCAGAACCCAGACAGGCATGCCTCCGTTGTAACAAACGCTCGACGGGAGGTTTTTTGCCGTTTTCGTCCTCCAGGGGCCTTCGACGGGCCACGGGATGGTCAGAAAACGACTCGGGAGGAGAAGTGGGCACTGAGGAAAGGGGGGGGGGAACTTCTGGGGATCGCGTATTGAATAATTCGTAAGTCGGATGTCTGGGAAAGGGGAGAGAAAGGTGCCCCCTCGTCGTCACCGCTGGACGCGGCTAGAAAATTGTGTCAGCTTCGGCCTTGCAAGGAATCCGAGGATTGATTTTGAGCGGATTTGCCGTCGCCCCCCCCCCCAACACCCTCTTGACCGATTCTCTTGGGGCCAATCCAGCGCAGACCCTGCGGCCGCTTCTAACTTCCCCACTTTTTCTTTACAGATAGCTCCGCCTCGTATGACCACCATCGAAGAAGAACAACTGCAGAATGATAAAAATGACTTACAAACTCCGCGCGGATTTATTGGATCTGCGCTGGGCCCCCCTGGCGGCACCCCCCGGCTCCCAATTCCCGAGGGTTAACGCCCCGAGTTTTTCTTAGCCTCACGCCCCGCGGAGTGGAGCTACACGCTACTAGCTTGCACGGCATAGCGTATCGCCAGGGCCGCCGCCGCGACATAGCCGCCGCGACACGCTAAGCCGCGACACTGAGCCGCGACACGCTAAAACGGTGTCTCACATAGTAGCCGCGACACGCCAAGCAAAAAACGACCGTATGCTGATCAGAGTGAGGGGGGGCAAACGGTCCTACACCATTCCTGGGTGCGCGGGTGAAGATGAATTTTGTGGTCATGATTATGTTTGTTTGTTGTTGTTGCTGATGTTGTTGTTGCTGTTGTTGCTGCTGCTGCTGTTATTGTTATTGTTATTGTTGTTGCTATTGTTGTTGCTGCTGCTGTTGTTGTTGGTGGTGAGGGTGCTGTTGGTGTTCGTGGTGGTGGTGGTGTTGGTGTTGGTGCTGGGGTTGTTGCTGTTGATGGTGTTGTTGGTGTTGATGTTGTTGCTGTTGCTGTTGATGTTGATGGTGGTTGTGTTGTTGTTGCTGCTTTGGTTGGTAATGATTGTGTAGTTAGTGCTAGTGTTGTTATCGCTGCTGCTGCTGTTGATGTTGTTGTAATGTTTTGTCGTTGGCGGTGTTGTTGACGCTGTTGCTGCTGCTGTTTGCTGCCCGGAAGGCAGCGGCGCCCGGAACCGCGGCCGCAGTGGCAGCGCCGGCCCGCCACGCCGACGCCACCGCAGCCGGGGAGGAGCCGCACCGCGCGCCGGCCACTCCTCGGGGGAGTCGTTGGCAGAGGTCGAGTCTCAGACATTCGGGAGCCTTGAGACGGGGGTCGATGCAAAGGGGGTCAGCCAGAGCGCCGGATCTTACAAGATTCTGCAGAACCAGGGGTGCATTGACCCGGGTCAGCGCGCAGATCTTGCAGGATCTTGTATGACTGTGCAAAGCTTGATTGACCCAGGTTTGCATTGACCAGGGTCATTACGTCCCCGAGACATGCTCTCATCGTATAAAAGAGTCACGACGGGAGGTTTTTGGGCGTTTGTGGCCTCCCCTCGCGGGCCTCGGGACCGTCAAGAAACGACTCCGGATGAAAACCGGCCCTGGGACTACTGGGGACCCCTCGGAGAAGTCGTCGCCGACAGCGGCCGAGTAGGCGCGCGCCCAGCATGGATTCGCCATGACGCCAACCTTGAGAAACTGGCGTCTCAATTTGTTTCGAGCTGGGCGTTTCACCCGGTCACAGGCCCCAGGGCCCTCGCAGCTCGATCCAGCCTGACAAATAGCACAGAAATATAGGGTCCGGGGCTCTGGTCGTGATTTTTCAGGATGTTGTTGTTTTTCCTTACGTCGGATCTCAGGAACGGGTCCTGACGGAAACGGGTCCAGAGGTTTTTCACCGTTTCTGGCCTCCTGGCGCCCTCCACGGGCCCCAGGGCCGTCAGAAGACAATTCAGGACGAAAAGTTGGTCCTGGGCGAAGGCCCCAGGGTCTAAAACCAGTTTCCCTCAGGACCCTCGCGCCCAGAATGGATGTCGTCGACTTCGACCTTCTCCCCTTTTCCTTCCGTCTCGTCCTACCTCATGAATCCCCCTCACTCCCCTACTCATCCCTCCCTCGTTGCCACCCTGGAAAGTCATCGCTAGGATGTTCGAGCGTCGTCGCCGACAATGTCCGTCCGAGTCGGCACGCCCGGCATGGATGCGAAAAACCCTGCACGGTGCCCAACGTCTTGGCATCCGAGATGGAGTCTGAGTAAATGGGGTCAGAGGATCGCGCTGCATCTCCGATGCATCAGCGATGCGGTTCGATTTGGAGCCCGATTCTCTCCAAGACGACGGCGCCATACATATACATCGCCGACGTCGCCGATGCATCGGCGATGCGGCGCGATCCCCTGACCCAGTCTAGATCTTGGCCTGAGGGCCTCAGGGCAGCTCCTGAGGACTCGCGTGCTCAGCCTCCCCTCCAGACTCCCCCGGGTCCCTCGACCTAAGTATGAACCCACGCCTGGCTCTAAGTCCAGCCTGGCCAGGTCTAGGCTTGTCTACCAGCGCCAGGCTTCCCTCGCCCGCAGGATCGAAGGTTTCCAGGAAGCTTCCGGCGACCTTTTCGAGCACCCTCCACCTGGCAGCGCACCCGGGGCCAACGAGCCCCAGGAGGCTTTTGGAGGAGGCCCAGGATTTTGATGTGTTCGGCCCCGAGGAGGAGGAGGACCCTTGGGCGCACGAACTTAATTTTTGCAATGACTTGCAACTGGTGTGCAGAGAGGCTTCTGTCAATGTTGGTGCGGGCGGCGTGCAGGCTGCAGCAGAGGAAACATCTGTGCCCAATAGTGTGAGTTTGAGTTTCCAGGCGAGCGAGGCCCAACCCCCTAACCCTTCGGCGGTTTTCCCACCCTCGACCATAGTACAAGCTGGATCTGACCCCTCCCAGCAATATGCCTGTGCCTTTGGCGGCCCGCTGATCGAAGATGCCCGTGACCCCGTGTTTGAAATCCCTGCTGCGACGTGGATTGGATGTCGGCGGTAGGTGGGATTCAAGTCAGGCCTTGCCATTGTGGGCAATATCGTTTCTGTGCTCTCTACTTCCGTAGCGTTTGGGCTCGAACCCCAAACCAGCCAGCCCCTCACTGGACAGTACGCGGCATGGGTGACAGCTGTGGAAAGCGCGATTCATCTGCATCATGGCACGAGGCCTTCCCAGGGACCTTCGCGAACCGAGGGACCCAGGTTCGTCGAGAAACCCATGCGCGTCTCGGCCCATTTACGTGCGCTCGCCCTTCGTGATCAACGTAGCCAATGATGGACGCGGGTCGACACGATCCTTGCAGGCGCCTGTCGGCACCTCTGCCGCAACAGTGGATGCCGCCAACTTCATGCGTATGACGCAGCAGGTCGAGCCCTACGAGCATCGCGACCAGACGGGGTACATGCCATCCTCCGTGCTGGCCATGAGGCACTCTGGGAGCACTGGCTTGCGATTGTGTCTCATCCATCTCAGGTCAGCAGCTACTTCCTGGATTGTTTTGTCATCGCGGCCAGGAAGCTCGCGGCGCGAGCCCAGAGAGCTGCTGTGCGTGAACCCGTGGCGGAATTCAAAAACGTTTGTGACGACCGCCGAAGCCCTGGGCATCCTTCACAAGTCCTTGATTATGAACAAGTTACCTGCGCTGGAACAGGACACAGGAGATTGCACTTTGGTTCACCCAGCTGATACCACGGAGCACAAGTCGAAACATTCCAAGAGGCTGCGGGCCCTGCGGGAGCCGAAGCTTGTTGAGATAACAGAGGCATCTCGTCTTATTCGAACTGAAGCGGAATATGACACTCTGCCTGAGCTGACCGCTGACATGATCTACAACAGTGCCAAGGCAATGAAGGCCAAGGCGGGGCTAGGCGTGGACGTGCTCCCTCCAGTGGATATTCAGAGAGTACCCATAGGTACCATCAATGAGCTGGTACATCTACTCGCCTCTGCCGAGGCTATGTTGGCATGGCCTGCCCAGACACAATTTATCGCCAGCTACTTGGCGCCCAAGAAATCAAGCGGCGATCGCGGCATTGGCATGATATCGATGCTGGGGCGCCTTTGGTCACGCACACGGGAGCCGCTGGCGCGGCAATGGAGCGCAGAGGAGGCCCGGCCGTGGGACGCAGCAGTGGCTGGCAACCCCGGCCTCCGCGAGGCCTACCTCCACGCCGTCGACGAGGAGCTGGCCCACGTCCTGGGCATGCAGTTCGGCCAAGGACAATTGGACACGCAGGAGTTTTACGACACCATCCCATGGATGCCACTTGTGAAGGCTAACCTGCGCTTGCGGTTTCCTCCAATCATCTTGTGCCTGGAGCTTCTGCAATACATATCAGCACGCGCGCTTTCTCAAGAGGGCGCGGCATGCAAGCCGTTCGAACCCTGCCAGTCGGTCATTCTGGGGCTGCGCGGGGGCACCAGGTTTGCCAAAATCCTCGCGCACTTCGCGATGCAAGTTGTCACCGCGGCCACTCCGTTGATGACGCATCGTGTCTGGGTAGATGACATGCGTCAGAAGATCACAGGTTCGCGCCAGGCTGCTCGCTCCAACCTCATCCGAGGGGTGGTCAAGACATGCCGGGGACTTGCTAGAGCGGGCCTCAAGTTGGCCAAGAAGTCAGTCGCCATGCGCAGCGCACCCTCCGACGCCCATGCAGTTGCTCAAGCAGCTAGGCGGCAGACTTGCTGCCAGGCAACGAGTCGACCTCCAAGGTTGCGATGTCGAAGTTGCCGTGGGGCTTTCGGTGGGCTTGGCGGTTTCGCCTCCACTGCCAATGGCCGCCTCTGGAGGAGTGGCTGCCAGCTGGCGCTCGCTGCCCTGGACTTGAAGGAGGCGAGCCACTGCCCACGTTTGCACGATGGGCTCCGAGGAAGCAGCCGAGGCCGTGGCCAGCGGGCATCGCGGAGTGCAGCGAGGGTGAGCTGGGACGCTGGGCCGACGCGGGCTACGCGGCGCCGCCGCGCTTCCGAGACAAGCGGCGTTTGGACCAGCACGGCAAGATCGCGCCCCCCGCCTCGGCGCGCGAGCAGCTCATGGGCTTCGCCTAGGGCCGCGCCGCCCCGCGCATGCCCAGCGGCGACGTCAAGGGGGGGCCCGACAAGCACGAGGCCCCGCGCAGGTCCTTGGTCGGGAACTCCTTCCACAGCGAGGTGGTCGCCTGGCTCGCGAGCCACTGGGCGGCGGCTGCAGGGCTGCTGATGGCCGCCCCCTCGCTCGCGGAGCTGCGCGAGAGCGCCCGCGCCCGGCCTGGCGGCCGCCGCCGGTGGGCAGGGGGCCTCGCCTCTCTGCGGCGCGGGCGGGGGGCCCTCCAGCATTGTCACCTTGACGAGCTGGACCAGCCTGGCGGCCCCGCGCACGCCGGTCGTGGGTCGCAGAGCCCCAGCGCCCTGGGCTCGGCCCGGGGCAACCGTTTCCACGTGGCCATGGGGCGCGTCCGCGAGGAGGCCGCGGCGCCGCGCGCCTCCCGGCTCCGCTCGCAGCCCTACCTGCTCGAGGGCCCGGGCGGGCTCGCGGTCTGACGGCTGCCGCGCCATTGCAGGCCTATCGAGGCCTGTCATGCAGACGCCCTCCTCGTGGAGCGGGGGCTGGCCAAGAGCGATAAAGTCGAGTGGCGAGATGATGGCGCGCGGCGCCGCCTGGCCACGGGGTTGGCGATGGCATGCCACCTCGACGGGGCCGATTTCAGGGCGGGCGGGGGCTCCGAGGTGCTGGGCAAGGTTTTCCACCGGCAGGAGATTGATGCAGGCGTGGGTCTGACGTAAGGCGAGGCGAGTCGTCTGGGATATTACAGAGCACATCAACGTCTTAGAGTGCTAGGGCGCCCTGATGGCGATTCGATGGCGGGCCCGATCGGTTGCGCGCCACGAGTCCGGTTTTCTGCATCTCCTCGTCTCTCGACTTCATGGTCGCACTTGGTGCGCTTTACAAGCGCCGTTCCAGTAGCAGACAGCTCAACCAGGTGGTGCGCGGCTTCTCTGCTTGGGAGCTGGCCACGGGCGCGCGGGGTGTCTTCGGTTTCACGAGCTCGCCCCGCAACCCAGCCGATGCCCCGTCGCGCTTGAAGGAGGGTTCAGCGCACAGGGCCCTCAGATCGCCGCGCCACCAGAGCTGGCCTAGGACGGTTGAGCGACGCTAGAATTGGCGCCAAGACGTTGGCGCGATATCTCACAGCAGCTCACCAGTTTGTTGACTACGCCGCCACTGCCCACGTGCCTCTGCCTGTCGATTGGGGCGAAATGGACCTGACCCTTCAAGAGCATCTCGAATTCCTTTGGGCGCAGGGCGCCACGAAGGGCCAGGCGAACGACGCGCTCAGCGGCGCGACTCAGTACCTTCTCCGGACGATGAGGCAAATACCCGGAGCCTGGCGCCACCTAAGCGTCTGGGGGCGCCTCGAAGTACCCAGCCGAGCGCCGCCCACGCCGCCGCTCGTGCGTGCTGCGCTCGCGGGCTGGTCCCTGGTTGCAGGAGAGCTGGCCCTCGCGTCAGTCGCGATGGCTGCGCTCCACCTGTGCCTGCGATTTGGAGAGGCCCTCAACCTCAGTCTTGATGGGGCCCTCATCTCCTTGCGCCCAGACGGACGCGGCGTCGCCAGCCCCCTTTGGACAAAGACATCGCGTCAGAAAGGGGCCCGTGATAATGTCACTGTAGATCGCCCTTGTGTAGGGACCCTCGTCCATTTGCAGCTCAGTGAAACTGTCTTTCGGTTCAGCTATGGCCCTTGTCGGCTCGTGCGTTTCATCAGTTGTTACGCGGAGCTCTGGATGAGACCGGTCGCAGTCACATCAGGCTTTCGCCTTGTAGTTGACGACGGGGCGGGGCCACTTATGAGTTCTAGTTTCTAAAGTTCTGATGAGAGGCGGGTGGTCGTCCCACCGTGCTGCGAATATATGTATATATATATATATATATTACATACACGTATCCAAGATGGAGCAGCAGTTTTGGCTGATATGAATGTTTTACCTCGCTTGCGTGAAGACCCCCAGGGCTGGGGCGCCACCTTTTCTGCTAGGGTTAAAGCGCAATGGCGCCAATGTTGGGGAGAATTGGGGGGGAAGTCCCCGTGCCGTTTTTCTCCGCCCCTATCATATCAATGATTGCGGCTGTTAGCCAGATGAGAGAATGTAAGTGCGTGCGAAGCTCGTAGCATGGCGTCTCTAACTTGGGTGGAGCTAGTCGGTTGTCCCCTGGGTTACATCCCCATCGGCCTTGACCGCCTCTCCCGCGCCCACCTCGGCCGCCAGCCCACCGCGATCCCCGGCTTGGGAGGCGGCAGAGCGACCCCCGAAAGGGCGGCGGTTACCAGTTGGGAGCAGGAGGGTCCTGAGGTTGTTGGCCGCAGGACATGGTGAACCGCGATGCCGAAAGGGGGGGGGCGGACTCGCGCAGTTTAGACTAGCCTTGCAAAGACGATGGCCGACAAAAAAACGGAAAGAGAGAGAGAGAGGAAAACAAAAAGAGAGAGAGAGAGAGAGAGCGAGAAAGAAGGGGTTGTGCCCATTTTCTTTTCTGATCGGGTTCCGCCACCCCCCGCCTGCCCAAACATATGCACGTTTACGGCGGGTGCTTGGGCAAGGAGGGTTGCGGGTCGATCGCCCGTCGGCCGTCCTCTGATGCATGGCAGCCGTTTCGTCCCCCTTTTCCACGCCCTGGAACTTAAGGGCACCATGCATAATATTTGCAGGAACTAATCAGTAGTCCCCTAGGTTGCACCCCTTATCGGCCTTGGCCGCCTCTCCCGCGCCCACCTCGGCCGTCTGCTCACCGCAATCCCCGGCCTGGGAGGCGGCGGAGCGACCCCCGAAAGGGCGGCGGTTACCAGTTGGGAGCAGGAGGGTCCTGAGGTTTTTGGCCGCAGGACATGGTGAGCCACGAGGCCGACACGGGGGGGGGCGGGTTCGCAGGGTTTAGACTAGCCTTGCAAAGACGATGGCCGACAAAAGAAACAGGAGAGAGAGAGAGAGAGAAAGAGGAAACAATGGGTCTGCAATCTTTTCTTTCTGACAGGTTTCCGCCACCCCCCGCTTGCCCAAACATATATAGTTCCGCCGTTTCCCCGATCGGGTCGAAGGTGGTGTCATCGATGCGCATCGATTTCCCCGTCCCTTCGCATCTATTCGTGTCGCAGATCGCCAGTACCATGTAGACTTTCACTTCGTATGCCGCTGTGGGAGATCCTGCAACGATCCTTCGAGTCGGTCTGAGCGGGCCCCCTCCAAAGATGCCTATGACGAGATGTCGTGGCCAAATGTACGAGTCGAATGCTGCCCGAAGCGCGAGACCTCCTCCTCCTCCGTTCCTTTTCCATAAAAATATATCTTCCCTGTCGCACCCCGAGGCCGGTCGAAAGGGCAGTCCAGGCGTTTCGTTTGAGACGTTCTCACCGTTTGTGATCTTGGATTCCAAAAGTTGATAACATATTCACACATGGAGGGCGGATGGACATGTGCAAAACATGTGCAAGAGTTTCACGGATTGAGGGTTGGTCGCTCTCGCCTTAGAGTCGTGCACATTCTTGTGTAAACATGTGCAAGAGCTTCACGGACTGAGGGCGGGTGAGTTGCGTGATGTTGTTCTCGCCTTAGAGCCGCGCACATTCGTTTTAAACATGTGGGATGTTCACGGGTTGACGGCGGGCCATGTTCAACGTGTGGTTCTCGCTTCACCGCCGCGCACATGAGTTTCAACAGCTTGCCATCAAAATGTGTCTATTGCTTTAGCGCCGCGCGCAGTCGCTTTAGAAGTTTGCAGGAGTTGTACGAATTGAAGGCGGGTCCCATTCAAAATGTGGTTTTCGCATTGCCGCCGCGCCCTATCGATTTAAACGTTCGCAGTTGTTTCATGATTTCACAGGGTTTACTTACCAGGGGATGTTGTGTTGGACCGATGCATGATTCGTCAGGGCACAAGAGTTACTTCGATTCGTTGTGAAGTCCCAGGAGTTGTGTTCTGGCACGGTTCAGGATCGCCAAGAAGTCAAACTCAGGTTAATTCGTGGCGTTGAAGTCTTGAGAACGGTGTTTTGGTGCGCCTCCGGATTTGTTCACGGTTGCCCCCCCCCCAGCGGGGCAATTTCTTCAGTGTGAATGCGTAGGCGTTTATGAAGAAGGATATTGGATGTATGGTTTTTTTCGACATCGTTGGTGAGTCTTAGGTTGACGTTGGTCCTCCTCGTCCTCCTCCTCGTCCGCCTCTTCCTCCTCCTCCTTCTCCTCCTCCTCCTCCTCCTCCTCCTCCTCTTCCTCATCCTCCCATTCCCTCTGGCGCAGGCAGCGGCCCCCGCCGAACGCGCAGCCGCAGCAGGGGCTTCGGCGAGCCTCGCTGGGGCCCCGCGCCCCCCGCGCGCACGCGCCTTTCACAGGGGAAGGATGGGGAGGAGGAGGAGGAGGAGGAGGAGGAGGAGGAGGAGGACGAGGAGGAGGAGTAGGAGGAGGAGGAGAAGGAGGAGGAGGAGGATGAGGACGATCTGTAGATGGAAGCGGAGGAGGAGGAGGACGACGACGACGAGGACAAAATGAAGAGATACAGAGGAAGAGGAGGAGGAGGAGGAGGAAGAGGTGGAGGTGGAGGTGGAGGAGGAGAAGAAGGAGGATCGGAGAGGAACACGGAGTGGGGGGGAAGGAGGAAGAGGGGAGGGCGGGAGGAGGGGAGGGTGAAAGGGCGATGACGGGAGGAGCAGGACGAGGAGTCAAGGGGGTTCAAATCACACCGACCTTGGGCGATACTGAAAAGTCCTGGGCGTTACAAAATATGCCTGACCTGCTCGATTTATCGAAGGCGCCTTCAGCGGATCACCGCCGCCCCCTGCCTTTTGAAATCACCCATGTGGCCAAGCGTTGTGGCAAGAGCTCTGTCAAGCTATCGGACCATGTGTTCCCCCAACTGTTTTGGAAACCCTTCGGGGAACACTTGGGGGAGGATGGCGGGGAAGATCAAGAGGATGAGGATGAGGAGGGGGCATATAGGGAGCCTCGGGGGGGGCACTCTTGGGGCCTCCTGGGAGCTTCCTGGGAGCCTCTTGGAGGCATCTTGGGGGCCTCCTTGGGCCTCTTGCGGGCCTCTGGGGGCTTCTCGCGGCCTCTTTGGCAGTCTCAGGGCATTCCTGGCCCATCTGACGCCGTCGGAAGCCGTCTTGGGAGCCTCTCTTGGCCGACTTGAAACCCTCTTGGGATGCTCCAGGGCCGCCTTGGAGGCCATCTTGGGCGTCTTGGGGGCCTCTTGGGCCAGCTGGGGCCATCTTGGAGGCCTCTTGGGCGGGCGATCTTTCAGGGCTCTCGGGCCGTCAGACGGCCGAAAAAAATCAAATGCTAAAATCTTTCAAAAGCCGAAGGATGCAACATGATGTTGGCCTCTTCGGGCCTTCCGGGAGGCCCTCTTGGAGGCCTCTTGGGCCGTCTTGGAGACCTCTTGGTGACCTCTTTGGCGCCTCTTGGGCCATCTTAGACCCATTTGGGCCGTTTTGGTGGGCTCCTGGCCCGTCTGACGCCGTCGGAAGCTGTTTTAGGGGCCTCTCTGGACCGACTGGGGGCCCTCTTGTGGTGATCCAGGGCCGTCTTGGAGGCCATCTTGGGCGTCTCGGAGGCCTTTTGGGCTGTCTGGGGGTCCTCGTGGGCGGTCTTGGGGGCCTCTTGGGGGGGCCATCTTGGAGACCTCTTGGGCGACCTGTGGGGGCTCTTGGGCCGTCTCGGGCCGTCGGAAGGCCGAAAAAAGGCAAATGCAACATCCATCAAAAACCTAAGTAAAATCAATGATGTTGGCCTTTTCGGTAGCGAGGACCGCCGCGCGCCAACGGCCAGAACCCTTCGACCCCGACACGGGACAGCAGCTGTATAAAGCTAAGGTCGGCGACATCCAGTTGGACCCCCCAGGGGAGACCCCTGGCAAGACGATCAAGCGGCTTCAAGTCACCCTGGGGGCGATGTTCACCGGCGCCCGGCACGCGTTCGCCGAGCAGCGCGCCGCGCCCAGCGCCAAAGGCGCGCTCGACCCGCTACGGCGCGACCAGCAAACTTGGTCAACTGTCTGTCCTCCTTCCGCAGCTACAACTGCGATGTGCGGGCCATGAACGACGCGCTGGACCTCGGCGCTGACTGAGCCCAGCTGCGTCAGCGGTACCTGGGTCGCAGTGGCGGCGCGGGAAGGGGGCGCCGCGCGGCGAGGGGCCTCGCCGGCAGCCGCGCACCCAGGAAGGGAGAAGCAGGGGAAGGTCGTCAGCTCTAGCTCCGCGGGCGCGCCCGTTCTTGTTTCCCATTAGTCACCCGCCGATTCGCCCTCCACCTGGCTGCGTGGCCGGTTGCCCTTTGCGTTTCTTGTGGCCCTGCCCCATTGCAGTTGCGCCTCGTTGGGAGCGTTCCGGAGGTGCCTGGACCGTCCCGGTCGGCCTCTGGGGTCGCAATCGCAGCGTTTCGCGGTTCCTCCCCAGCCTATTCCTGGACGACGAGTCCATGTGCAAGGGCTTCCTGGGCGCCTGGCGCAAATGCGGTTTCGACGCCCACGAGGTGGATCGGCGGGGCTCAGAGTCGCCTGGCCCGCCGTACGTGAGATGCACATCAGGGCGATTTCAGGCCAGGGGTCACATCAGTGAAGGGGGTGGAGCTCTGGCTGCCTGCTACTGCCCTGGGTTCTCGGGTGGGGTGGTCCTGGCACGGCCCAGGGCAATCCTGGCACGACCATGGCTGGCACGACGGAGGCAAGAGCGGCAGACGGGGCAGCGACGGTGCAGGCCACGACGGCAGGCGGCCCAAGTGAACGTGTTTTTCCTTGGCACAGTTGCTGGAAGCGTCAGAAACGTCTCCAGAAGGCACGGCCGTTCGCCAGACACCAGAAACCTGAAGGTGTGGCCGTTTGCCACCTTTGTGCCAACTACCACCTCCTGACGTCTTGCCCCCAACCCTTCCTTTCCTCTGCCGACCAGCTTCGGTCGCAGCGCACCCCGCAGCCCCTGGCTCGCTCCTCGCCGTTGAGGATCAGGCTCCACGGCGTTGCTTCCCTGGCGCGATGCCCTCGGGGGGGCGGGAGCAGCGTGTCGTCGCGCGACCTTGCCGTTTGCTGCAGTTGTGTTCACACTGACCTTCCCCGCACCCGGCCGCGGCCTGGGCAGGCATCCCTCGTCAGCGGGCCTCGTGATGACCGGTTATCCTGATGCCGCGCCTGGCTTTGCCCCCCCCGCCCTTGGGGATCTGGCTTCCCGGCGCTGTCGATACCTGGCGCGATGCCCCTTGTTGGGGCGGGGCGCAGCGTGCCACGCGGCCCTGGCCGTTGACTGTAGCTGTTTTCGCGTTGGCCTTCACTCGGTCCCGGCCGCGGCTTGGCTTGGTTTCCCTGGTGAACTGGCCCCCCTCTTGGCCTTCCCCGCAACTGGCCGCTGCCTGACCCGGCCCGCTCGTCAGCGGGCCTCGCGTCGACCGGTGTTGGTCCTGATGCTGCGCCTGGCTTGCCCCCCGCCCTTGGGGATGTGGTTCCACGGCGCCGTCAATGCCTGGCACGGTGCCCCTTGCTGGGGCGGGGCGCAGCGTGCCACACGGCCCCGGCCGTTGAATGTAGCTGTTTTCGCCTTGGCCTTCGCTCGGTCCCGGCCACAGCCTGGCTTGGTAACCCTGGTGAACTGGCCTCCCCTTCGTGGCGTCTCGTGACTCACGCTCGCCGCGTTGCGGGCACCTGGCCGGAGGTAACCTCTGCCTTCGGTTGCCTGGTGCGCCGCCGCTCCTGTTCCTTGCGCCCAGTGGTTTTCGTGCTGGTTTCGTTGAGCCGGCGAGGCACCCTGGCGTCCAGGCGATTTGCACGTCGACCAGATATTGTTTGAATGCTTTCGTGTTCTTGGCCTCTGGTCCCAGACACCGCCACAGCCTGGCCGTGTTTGCAGCTGCCACCTGCATTGTGGGACGCGCCCCTTCGTGGATTGCTCAGGAGTGGTTCAGCCTTCTTGTTCAGCCATGTGAGGTTGTCTCTGTTGTCATGCAGCATTGGTTGGACCTCTGGCGCCTGGTGCGACAAGGTTCAATTCATGTTTTTCCTGGTGGTCTCGCCCCTGGGATGCCCGCGCGCTTGCCTGGCCATCTGGCAGCTCCCGGCAGCTCCTGGAGCCTCAGCCCTCGGCGCAGCCCAGCGTCCCTCGGCGGTAGTCCTGAAGCCGCCTGTGCGCGCGCTAGGTCAATAAGTTTCGCCCGCAGCCCGAGCCGACTTGTGACGCCGCCGGCGCCTTCGCCTGCGATCGCGACGAACAAAAATCCCCACCAGCCCATCCAGAAACGATGCCCAGGGGAGTTGGGATGATCAGGGAAGCGGGAGAAGATGCAGAAGAACAAAGGGCGGGGGAAACTGTCATATACCCCAGGAGGGGGGGAAGAAGGGGAATCGTCGTCGTCGGAGGAGGAGGAAGAGGAGGAGGAGGAGGAGGAGGAGGAGGAGGAGGATAATGAGGAGAGCGAGGAGAATGAGGAGGAGGAGGAGAAAGAGGATGACGATGATGATGCTGATGATGATGATGACGATGACGATGACGATGACGATGACGATGATGATGATAATGATGATGATGATGATGATGATGATGATGATGATGATGATGATGATGATGATGATGATGATGATGACGATGACGATGATGATGATGATGGGGATGATGATGATGATGATGATGATGATGATGATGATGATGATGATGATGATGGTGGTGATGACGATGCTGATGATGGTGATGATGATGATGATGCTGATGCTGATGCTGATGCTGATGCTGATGACGATGATGATGATGATGATGATGATGAGGAGGAGGAGGAGGAGGAGGAGATTGAGTAGGGCGAGGACGAGGAAGAGGAGGACGAGAGGGAGGAGCAAGAGGAGAAGGAGGAAAAGGAGGAACAGGAGGAGAAGGAGGAGAAGGAGGGAAAGGAGGAGGAAGGGAGGAGGAGGGGGAGGGGGAGGAGGGAGGAGGAGGAAGAGGTGGATGAGGAAGAGGAGGATGGCGAACCGAAGAGCCAGAAGCGTCTTAAATGCCTTTCGGAGGTCCTCTTGAGGCTTGTTGGGGGTCTCTTGGGAGCCTCTTGGAGGCCTCTTGGGCGCCTCTTGGGGCCGTCTGGGCGCCTCTTGGGGCGCTCTTGGGGGCTTTTGGGGCGCTCTTGGGGCCATCTTGGAGGATTTTGATAAAAAAAGGGGAGCTTCAATTAGCCTCGTCCCCTGGGAGCCCCAAACATCGCCTCCTGGGGCGCTCTTGGAGCACTCTTGGGCGTTCTTGGGGCCGTTTTGGGGCTCTCTTGGGCCTCTCTTGCAGCCCTCTTGGGCCATGTTGGGGCCATTTTGAGGCCTCGGATGGCCATCGGAAGCGGAAAGTCGAGAAAGCAGAACACATTGATGTTCCCAGGGTTTGGGACAGATGTTGGCATCTTCGGGGCTTCCTTGGAGGTCTCGGAGGCTTCTTGGAATCGTCTTGGAGCGTTCTTGGGGCCTCTTGGAGCATCTTGGGTCTTGAGCGATCTTGCGCTATCTTGATCCATTTGGGAGATCTTCTTGGGCTCTCCGAGGCCCTCTTGGAGCCATCTTGGGCCATCCTGGACGCCCCGACCGTTCGCGAAACGACCCGTCCAAGTCCAGGGGGAGGGGGGAGGGGGAGGGGTAAACCCCTCCCCGAAGGGGAAGAGGGAGGGGTGGAAGAGGAAACGCCCTAGACCACCTAATTACGCCCAGAGGGCTGGTGGGATTTATCAGCGTGGACCCAAACCAGTGATTTGTGAAGGTGGAAACTATGCGGAGTACGCTATGTGGCGTCAGCCCGCTTGTGTAAGTTATGCGATGTGAGCTAAGTGGTGTGAGCTAAGTGATGCTAAGTGATGTGATGTGATGTGATGTGAGCAGTGGGGCGGACGCCTGCGCCTCCATGCTGCAGGCGAAGTTGGACAAGCACGCCAGGGTGATCCCGGAGCTGGCCGACGAGGGCATCGACTACCGCCCTCTGGTCTGGAGCTGCTGGGGTCGGCCCCATTGTGACGCTACGGACGCCGTGGGCTCCATGGCGGCAGCGGCGTCGCGCCGGAGAGGTGGCCACCCTGGCGGTGCTTGCTCGCAGGGCCGAGACGCTGGTCGGCATCCAACTCTGGCGCCAGGCTGCTGCCGTGGTTTCGGCCTGTCTGCCTGTGGCCCACGCGGGGGACTCGGGCGACGTGATCCCGCTGACGCGGGCGCAGCGCCTGCGGGAGCTGGGGCGAACGGCCGACGACGTCGACACGGCGGACGATGACGTGGCGCACGCGGCCCAGCTGGAGAGCCCTGGGGACGCGGAGCCCGCGGCGGAAGGCGAGCTGGCGCTTGCGGGCCTCGCAGGGGGAGCCAGGGGCGCCGAGGCGGCACTGGACACGGCTGCGGGGCCCGTCGCGCGCCCCGGGTGCCAGGTCGCGGCCCTGCAGCAGGTGCTCGGCCCGCGCAGTGGTCGCGGCCGTGGCCCAGAAGCTAGCGCCGCTGCTGCCCCGGCACCAGCCCCCGCTGCGCGCCGGGGGGGCCCGGGTTGCTGCCTCGCGGCTTGTGTACGGCCGCGGGCCAGGGGGCTAGCGGCTGTCGGAGGCGCTTGCGCGGTGGCGCATCAGAGCGGCCGAAGCGCGAGCTTGGGAGGACAGGTTCTTGACCCATTACGTCGCGCCATAAAATAGTAAACCACGTTGTGTCAGCTATCTGGTGAGAGCTGTGTCGTGTACGCGGTGTGATCCATGATGTGCAAGATATGCGGCGTGGTATGCGCGTGTGCAAGCTGTATCACCCAACCGGGGCACGGGGCGCCCACGAGGCGCCCGCGGGCGGGCACCAGGCGAAACCTCGCCCCCCCCCCCCCCCCCAGCGCGGGACGCCCACGAGGCGGCCACGGGCGCCCACCAACCCGGCACCAGCCGAAACCCCGGCATGCCCACAGGAGCAGAACTGAGAACCCCGAAGTGCCAGCACAGTTTGGGGAAGGGGAGCTGTTGGGCGCCTCGTCGGGGGCAATGTCAGGCCATATTGGCTGTCTTGGTTCTTGGTGGCCTCCCCAATCGTCGTGGATGCCGTTGAGAGCCCTGGCGAACACCAGGGAGGCGTTGTTGCGGCTCTGAGAATCCCGGGAGGGGGGCGATGCACGCAACTGGACGTGAGCAGAGGGGGGGGCCTTGGAGGATGCACAGACACCCCTCCGGACAGCACTCGGCTTTCTACCACGCCTCAACGTGCCAGGCCGCACGGTGGAGGATAAGGGAGGAGAGAAGAGGGACGAGGGACGAGGAGGAACAGGAGGAGGAGGAGGAGGAGGGACGAGGAGGGAGGAGGAGGAGGCACGAGGAGGAAGGAGGGAGGGAAGGAGGTGAAGGAAAAGAGGAAGCCCGCGCCCGCGCCCGCGCGCGCGCAGGCGGCCGCGGCGGCAGGGAACCCCGTGAGGCCAAGCCCGAGGGCTGCCGCACGGTCTGGGTGGGGTGGACCGACGGCAAGCCGCAGGAGGAGGATCCCCACCGCGCCAGACCCCCACCCCCCTTCGGAGGAGATGTGGGCACCGATACCGCTACCCTTGCTTCGCTTTCACTAGTTGGGGGCACCGCTGGAGTCGCATCGAAATTCTGGTCGGAATGCACCCCATGAGAGGTTTAGGGAGCAGCGGTATCGGTATCTTTCAGTTTCCCTTGTCCCGCTCCTCCTCCTCACCACCACCACCATCATCAGCAGCAGCATCATCAGTATCATCCTGCATGCCTCATCCCTCATCCCTCATCCTCATCCTTCTGCTGCATGCGCCCCCTTGTTCCATGTTCGGGGCCCCGAACCCTTTCAGTCTGCCGCCTCGCCTCGACAATATCGTTCCTCCTCCTCCTCCTCCTCATCATCATCATCATCATCATCATCATGGTCATCCTTCCCCTCTCCTCCTCCCAATCCTCGTCTTCCTCCTCCTTATCAGATCCCCCTTCCCACCCTCAATGCCGCCAGCATCATAACAATAACCATCATCACCATCACCATCATCATCATCACCATCAGCAGCAGCATCATCATAGTCAACATCGCCAAGAGCAGTGTCATCATACGCATGATCAACATCAACATCAACACCATTATATTAGCATCATCAGCATCATCAAGATCGCCATCATCATCATCATCATCACCATCGTCCTCATCATAAACAAACTTACCAGCTGCATCGTCATCAGCAGCAGCATCTGTATCATTATCACCAGCATCAACATACATATCATCATAAGCATTTTATTATCACCTTCATCATCATGGGCTGTACTCGTAACTCGTACGTGAATCCTGTGTTTCGCTTCGGTGCTCAGCCGCTCGACCCCCAGCCGATCCGAACAGTAATTCGTTTTGTTCGCCGCAACTGCGGTGGCTCAAGCTTCAAAGAGCTCGGGCCCCCCTCCCTCGCGCCCAGCGGGCGTTGCATGTGGGAGTGGCTGCTCCAGCGCGGTCCCGAGTATTTGGCCCAGGGGATCGTCAACTACGCTGCTCGCTGCCCAGCGATTCCCGCCTGCCCAGCCTCGGACTGCCCGCCTTGCCCAAGGCTGGTGTGCGGGGACTGCGTGGTGCCGGCCTGCCCGGCCTGCCTGGCCTGCCTGGGCGGCTCGGCGCCGCGCGCGGCGGCCGAACCCGACTGCCCGCCCGCGGAGGCGGAGGCGGGTTGCAGCGAGTCAGGGCTGGGGCTGCTGGCGTGCGTGATCTTCTCGTTCGGCGTCGCGGTCGGCGCCCTCGTGGTGTCGGGCGGCTGCGGCTGCGTGCGGGTGCTGAGGCGCATCGGGCGAGCTGCGGTCAAGAAGGGCGACAGCGACGATGAGTTGGAGTTACGGCCTGTGCAACGTGGTCGGCCTGCTGCTCTGGCATCAGTGGGAGGAGCACGGGGCGGTGGTGCAATCGGCTGGTATGCTGTGCGCGGCAGCCACTGCGTGCGGGGAGGTCTACGCCGAGGATTGGTCGACGACTTCCACGGGCGCGGCCACGGCGCGGAGGTGCCTGAGGAACCGCGTCGAGCCGACGGGCGTGCCACGCGGCCGGCTGCGCCGTTTCAGGCGGGATCTGTCGGCAGCGCGAGACGCCGAGGTCCTGCAGGCTGCCGAGGCGGAGGCCGAGACGGAGGGCCGCCTTCCCGCGGTGGCGGTGGGGGAGTTCCCGCCGCACGCGGGCTTCGCGTGGCTCCTGCCGATCGACGCCGTGAGCCAGGTCGTCAGAGCCGACGCGGAGGCGCCAGTGTCGGCTGCGGGCCGTGCTGTCCCTGCGGCGGTGCCTGGCGCGGCTCGCGGCGGTGGCCTCGACGCTGGAGCCGCCGCCGCTGCAGCTGCATGGGCGTCCGCCCCCCCCCCCCCCCCGCGCCCGCAGGGGCCCTGGCAGGGCGAGGCTCGAGTGTGGGCCCAGCCCGGCGGCCTCCCGCTCGGGGTCGCGGTCCCGGGCCACGAGCGGACGGTGCGGGCGCTCAGGACCAGGGACTTGCACGTGTTGGCCAATGGGACGGTGCTCATCGGGGAGGGCGTCTCCGCGGCCATGAAGACGAATTTCTTCGACAAGGGGGTCTCGGGCGACGCTCGCCTTATGGCCGTGCGCGTCAGCCGCCAGGGCAGGCGCGAGCGGTCGCGGGCCGAGATGGTGGCAGATGTGGCAGGCGGAGACCTCTCCAACGATTGGGATCTGCCGGGCCCCCGCTCAACGCAGTGGGGTTTCGAGTTCGTGAGCCAGAAGGGTCTCGGCCTGCGCGGCCACCACGAGCGCTTCAAAGGTGGTTGCCAGCTCAAGAGCTCAAGCTGGGCCGTGTCGGAGCACTATGATGTCACGCAGGCGTTGGGGCTCGGGCTCGCGAATGGCCAGATCGACTAGAGCTGCCTCATGATAGTCGAGAGCGTCGTCGGCCGCCTCCAGACGTTGGATTTCGATCGCTCCGAGCAGGCTCGCGGGCAGGAGACCAACGGGCACGGCGGCCAGCTCAGCCTGGAGGAGCGGATGGCCTTCGCAAGCTCTCCTCGCGCCGGGGGGGGGCCCGGGGATCTGCTCACTCTCGCTGGACTGCGTGAGGGGCGAAGTTGAGCGGGAGTCGAGCTCCGCCAGGGGCCTCCAGGAGGCGAGAGAGGAGCGTGAAGCTGCTCGCGAGGAGCACAAGAATAAGAAGGGCATCGACGACGGGTGACGGCCATCTCTCCTAGCCGCACCCTGTTGCGCGGGCCGCGGGCATGACGGGGCCCACTGGCCTGCGCGGCTCGCCACCAGCCGGCGAGCCTGAGCTATCCCGACCTTCGAGCGTCCCTGCGAGCTGGGCTCCGGGGCCCACCAGCGAAGCTTGCCAATTAGAATCCTCTACTCATCCTCCCTCCCCTCTGCTTCCCGCGTCTGACCGACGTGCGCCCCGCGAGCCTTTCCCCCTTCCGAGCGGAGAGGTTTTCAGAGTTTCTCGGGCGCGCGCCTGTAAGATGTCACGTGACACGCGGCAAAGGCTGGGTAGGCGTCAGGCCGAGGATCGCGAGGTCGATCGAGCGGCCTGGGGTCTGAACTCGTTCTACTCCCACCAGCCGCTGCCCCCACCTCGCGGCTCTCGGGGGCTGTCTTCGGAGCGAGCCAGCGACGGTGGTATTTTTTGCTTGCATCTGCTGGTCAGGCCGGGGTGTTGGACCGAGTCCGATGCGCCGTGCGTGACCTCGGCCCCCCACCCGAGGGGGTCACCCCCGCGGAAGCTCTCAGGAAGCTTCGCGTGGCGAGCTGGTACGATGTGGACGGTACTACGCTCGGTCGCTACTCTCTCGCCGACGTCTCATTGCCTTCAGGCGGCCCCAGGCCTGTTCCTGTGTCTGAGCTGCGGGGCGAAGGCGGGCGCCAAATGGTAGAGGACTTCTGCCGGTTGAATGTCGCTCCGTCGGAACAGTCGTGGGCTCGACCCCGAGCCGCTGGCGTTGACTCCTCCTATATATACTCCGACCCCAAACTTAGACACCCTCGCGCTTTTGAAGTATTCATGGCGGCGTTGGCCGCCCGTGGAATGCTCGATTCTGCCCGCGAGGATGGGGGGCAAGTGGAGCCCTTTTTTGTAGCCAAGAAGAACGGCAAGCTGAGGCTTGTCGTGGATTGCAGGCGCTCGAACTGTCATTTCACCGAGGCAGGGGGGATCTCTCTTTGCACCGGTGAGGGTCTCGCTGCCATCGAGCTTGGAGCCGACGGAGTGATCTTCGCTGGCGGGGCTGATTTGAGCGACGCTGTTTTACCACATGGGGCTACCAGAGCCTCTGAGAAAATACTTTACCTTTAGGCCCGTGCGGGATGGGGCGGTAGGTTGCACGAAGATTGGGGGTCGAGTTGTGGCTGCACATGAGAAGGTATTTCCCAGGCTCGCTGTCATTCCCATGGGTTGGTCTTGGGCTCTTTGGTTTTGCCAGGAGATGCACGAGAGGATTGTTGAGGCAGCAGGCTCGGTCCCAAAGTATAGGATCACCGACAAGACGTGCACCCCCGACCTCAGCCAACCATGTCACACGCAGTACGTGGACAACTTCATAGCTATCTCGTCCGATGCGGACCACGTCAAAAAGTCTGCGGCCGCGGCCATCGCTGCTCTGGAGGCCCGAGGCCCCGTCGTTCATGAGGAGGATCATGGGGGGGAGAGTGCTACCGCTAAGTTGCTGGGTTGGGTTATCGATCGAAGGAGTGGGCGTCTCGTTGCTTCTCCTGAACGTCTATGGCGTGCTCGGCTTGCTATTCGCGCTCTTCTCGCTCGCGGTCGGGCAAAAGGTCGGGGCGTCGAAAGGCTTCTCCGACATCTTGTTGTTTTATATCCTTGGTGCGACGTGAAGGCCTGCCTCAGTTTGTTTTGGAGTTGCTGTGGTTTAATTCGCAAGCACTATGACGCGGATTCTACCCCGTGGCCCTCCGTAATTCGGGAGGTGAGCGCTTGGGACTCGATCTCCCCGCTCCTTTATCGTGATCTGCGGGCTGCTTGGGGTGGCGAAGTTATCGTGGTCGACGCAAGCGAGTGGGGCCTCGGCGCTTTTTCCAGCCGCTGTGGGGCCTCTCTCTGCTCGCAGGTTGGGCGTGCGCCTGAGAGGTGGCGCTGGAGTCGGGGGGGCGCCCTCGGGGGCCCTCGTCGCCCCGCTGGTCGCCGGGCTCGGAACGCCGTTGCTGCGGCGGCCATCGACGGGTCCACGGAGAGCGCTGCCCCTTGGATGTACGGCCCCGACGACATTTGGGATCCAGTTCTTGATCATGGTGCTTCCGGACGTCCGGAGGCCCCTCTCGCTGGGGGCCACGCCCCCGGCGATGTCTACGGGTTCGGGAGGTTAGCTCGAGAAGGCGAGTTTCCTGAAGTTCCGAAGGGGGGCGATCGAGCAGGACTGGAAGGTGGTGGGGAGGTTCGAGTGGCGTAAGAAAGGCGAGAGCATCCCAGTCCTAGAGGCTCGCGCGACCCTGTGCGGCTATAGGCACCTCCTCCGCAATTGCCAACACCACGGCAAGCGTCTGGTCGTCCTCGGGGATTCTATGAGCGTGGCCGGTGCTGTCTCTAGAAGCCGCAGTAAGAGTCGGGCCATGATGAGCGTCACACAGAGCATCGCCGCCCTCTCCCTGGCGACGGGGTCCTCTCTCCACTACCGCTGGCTCCCCTCAGAGTGGAATGCAGTCAGGGGGCGCTGGCACCCCGCGGCTCCCACCGCGCTGGCCGCGCGAGATGCTCGCACGCGCAGCGCCGGCTCCGGGCGCCGTGGCCTCGCCCAGCCTGGCGGCGCGGACAGGGCCGCTGCCCAGGACTCCCCGGGCGGAGTTGAGGGGGCCCTGTGCACCAGCTCCGCGCCCTGGCGACGCGATGGCAGGTGCCTCGAGCCAGCCTGCGTCGTCGGGGCGCAGCCGCGTAGCTGCGCTGCGCCAGCAGCAGCGGGTGCTGCGGCGGCCGGCCGCCTCGCCTGCCCCTCTGGCCTCGAGCGGACCGCTGCGCCGCGTGGCCTTTCAGCGGGCCACGCGGGGCGGGGCGCGGCGGGCTGCGGCCGGGCGGGCGCCAGGCATGGCGGTGCTCAGCGCAGCGTCCATCCAGCGCAGGCCCCGCAACCGCTATCATGAGATTGCCCGCAACTTCCTGGCGCGGTCGCGCGGGCGGCCCCTGACGTCAGAGGACCAGGCGGACGCGGCGATCGCGGAGGGGCGCAACGCGCTGCACGCTTGACGCGGTGCCGGACGAGCAGCTTCATCACCGCCATCGCCTCGTCCGTGTAGGGCATGGGCGAGCGACAGCGCGGTGGCGCCAACCTGTTGAAACCCCGTAGAGCAAGGCGGCGACGCCGCATCCGCGCGCCCGACGCCCTGTTCAGGCCCGCGAAGAACGCCTCCGTCGCGTTGGCCCACGAGCCCACACACAGGTCCACGCCGTCGCGGCCGCCGTGGAGCCCCTCACCTTCGCGCTGTACCTGCGGCCCGAGGAGGCGCTCCACATCAGGGCCGAGGACCTTGGGGCCCCAGTCTCAGGCGTCGGGACGCTGGCCGCCGCGACGAAGGACTTCAACATCGACGTGGAGGCGCGGGGGGTCCACGCGGCCCTGGGCGGCGCCCTCGTGCACATGCTGCGACACGGCGGCGCCTCGCACGACTTCGCCTCGGGGCGCCGCCGCCTGGTGGTCGCGCGCCAGCGCGGCCGCTGGCTGTCGTGGCCCGCGGGGAGACGCTACGTGAAGGGCAGCAGGTTCACGCGGGGCGTCCTCATGCCCACGTCCGCCCGGCAGGCCCGCAGAAAGCTCTGCGTGGAGCTGCTGAGCGCAGCCGTGTCTGGCTTGCGCTCAGCGGCACCCTTCGCCTCCGACAGCGCGTCTTCGTCGAGGTGTTCTCGGGGGGCGGCCACCTCTCTGATGCGATCTCGGGCGTAGGGGAGGCGGCTTTACTCTGGGACATTTGCCTGGGCGAGAACTACGACCTTAGGTGCAAACGCAATCGCCACCTTCTCCTCGGCTGGGTGAGGGACGGGCTGGTGGTTGGGCCCCATGTGGCCACGCCTCGCTCATCCTTCAGCCGCGCCCGAGACACCCCCCCTGGGCCCCCTCGGCTCCGAAGCGACTCGGAGCCGATGGGCCTCGGCGGGCTGTCCCAGGCCGACCAGGAGAAGGTGGCGATTGGTAACATCATGATGTTGTTCTCGGCGTCTATTATACGTGAATGCGGGCAGGCTCAGATCCCTTGCTCCCTCGAGAATCCTGCCCGCAGTCGACTGTGGATTTGCCTTGCTATGCGTCGCCTTTCCCCATTTTGTGGCGTCACTGTTGTTACCGCCGATTTCTGTCAATGGGGAGTCCCTTGGAAGATAAGCACTTGTTTCCTGTCCTCCAACCTTGACTTGATCGAGCTCGCAGGCGCGAGATGCGCGGGCAGCAAGCGGGGTATATGCAGTCGTACGGGTCGTGGGCATCAGCAGCTCCAGGGCAAAGATCCTGCCGGTCAGTTCTACACAAAGTTAGCTGAGCCATGCCCAAAGGTGCTATGCAAAGCTATTGCCACTGCGTGCTACAACTCATGGGCCAAAGGTATCGGTGACTCCTTTGAGCGCTCTATGCAATAAAGAATATACGGCTCTGGCCAGTGAACTGTTTGGGAGATAACAGAGTTTGCAGGTTCTTGACGACTTCAGTCGCGGCCTCAGTGGCCGCTTCCATCGTTCTTGGACTCGCGGAGGCTCGGCTTCTTATACATCCTGGTGTCTGGCTGAGTAAGAGAATAGAGCTGGGGATGGGCTGTACTCGCACGTGAATCCTGCGCCCCGCTTCGGTGCTCAGCCGCTCGACCCCCCGTCGACCCGAACAGTAATTCGTTCTGTTCGCCGCAATTGCGGTGGCTCATGCTTCACCTCCCTCCCCCCTCCACCACCCTGAAGAGTTTCCAGCTTGCGACTGGTTTCACGCAGCAGGTTCTTGACGACTTCAGTCGCGGCCTCAGTGGCCGCTTCCATCGTTCTTGGACTCGCGGAGGCTCGGCTTCTCATACATCCTGGTGTCTGGCTGAGTAAGAGAATAGAGCTGGGGATTTTCATCAGCATCAGCACCATCAACATCATCAGCATCATCAGCATCGATCTCAAAACAATGTTTGCATTAAGGGATTATTATTTTTCTTATGTAACTGGGCCCCAGCGTCGGTCCGGCTTGTGGCCGCCCGTCGCCGCCGTCCGCAGCCGCCAGTTGCACTGGGCCGCGGCGTCGGCCCGGCTGGCTTGTGGCCGCCTGTCGCCGCCGTCCGTCGCCGCTACCGTTCCCTCGGACGGGCATCCCCCCCCCTCTCCAGAAGCTCTCGAACCCACCCCTCGCTTTCCTCAAAACAGAGATTGTCCTTGGGGGTTATTGCTCGCGTTTCGAAGAAACAGAGGCCCGGTGGCGGTCTGGCCGGCTCGTCGCCGACCATCCCCGCCGTGGCTGTTAGGCCCCAGCGGTGCCGCCCGTCGCTGTGTTGTTTTGCATTGTTTTGCATTGCTTTGCATTGTTTTGCACTTGTCTGCATTGTTTAGCATTGCTACGAATTGCTTTACATTTTTCCATTGCTGTGCATTGCTTTGCTCTGCTTCTCATTGATTTGCACTGTTTTACATTGATTTGCGCTACATCGATTGCGCCACATGGGTTCTCCCTTCTAAAAGAGATATAGACTCTACCCCCCCCGGGCGTTATCACCCCCCCCGCGTCCTATGTAAATCTCATCTGATTCTGAGCACATGTCCATCTTAAATATAAAATCGCAATGTCCCAGGCCAACCGGGTTCCCCCCCTGAGGTTCTTTTGTTTAAAAATATGCGATGACATGTTTGGTTTTAACATAACACTGTGTCACGAATCCTTTGCGAAAAATTGGACGAAGTGCACACGCGCGCGTCGTCGCTCGCGCATGCCGAAATCCTTCAAAAACCCTCGGTGTCGGAAGGATTTCGCAATCGAGTATCCAAAAACATACAACAACACAGGGTTTCGCAACACTGTTTTGCTAAAAAAGCTTGCGCGCGAGCGCTTACGAAATCTTAAGAAAATCATGCGTTTTTCAATATGTCAACAACATGCTACCAAACGGGCTTCGCGCGCGCATGTCGAAGTCTGTCGAACGCCCTTGCGCGTGTGCCGTCGCGAGAATCCTCTGCAACAAATGAGACGAAGTGCAGACGCGCGCGTCGTCGCGCGCGTATGCCGAAGTCCTTTAAAACCCATCGGTTTCGGAAGGATTTCAAAATCGTGTGCCCAAGAGAAACATACAAAAACACCAGGTTTCGCAACACGGATTTTCAACAAAAGCGTGCGCGCACGTTTTTGCGTCGTCGTCGTCGTCGCCGTCCTCCCTCCTCCCGCGTCGTCCTCGTCATCGTCGCCTACGTCATTGTGTTTCCTCGTGTTCGTCGTCGTCGTCCTCTTTGGCGTCGTGGTCGTTTCCGTCGTCGTTGTCGCCATGGTCGTCTTTCCTCCTCCCTCGTCGTCGTCGTGCGTCGTCGGCGTCTCGTCGTCGTCCCTCCTATTTCCTTGCCGTCGTCGTCGTCGTCGTTGTCGTCGTCGTCGTCTTCCCTCCTCCCTCGTCGTTGTCGTCGTCGGCGTCGCCGTCCTTCCTCCGTCTTCGTCGTTCGCGTCGTCGCCGTCCTCCCTCCTCCCTCGTCGTTGTCGTCGTTGTCGTCGTTGTCGCCGTCGTCGTCCTCCCTCCTCCCTCGTCGTCGTCTTCGTTGGCGACGTCGTCGTCGTCTTCGTCGTCGTCGTCGGCGTCGGCGTCGTCGTCTTCGTCGTCGTCGACGTCGGCGTCGTCGTCGTCGCCGCCGTCGTCGTCGTCGTCGTCGCCGGCGTCGTTGACGTCGTCGTCGTCGTCGTCGGTGTCGTTGTCGTCGTCGTCGGCGTCGTCACCGTCGTCGTCGTTGTCATCGTCGTCGTCGTCGGCGTCGGCATCGTCGTCGTCGTCGTCGGTGTCGTCGTCGTCGTCGTCGTCGTCGTCGTTGTCGGCGTCGTCGAAGTCGTTGGAGACGTCGTCGGTGTCGTCGCAGTCGTTGCGGGCTTGCGCGGCCGCAAAGATGTACCATCGAACACCCAGCACTCATCGCAATTGTTCCCGCATGGGTTTTGCAAACCAAGTTGCGGGTGGGTGGGTGGGATGATTGCGCGAGCAGTGGAGTTGACCACTTCAAGTTCGGCAAGTGAATTGCACCACCTAGATTGTACCACCTAGATCGCACCGCATATGTTGCAAGGGATGTTAGCTAGCGTGGACCCCAAACAGAGATGTCTTGCAATGCCAAGCAAATCAAAGCAATGCGAATCAACGCAACGCGCAACGCAAAGCAAAGCAAAGCAACGCAATGCAAAGCAACGCAAAGCAACGCAAAGCAATGCAAAGCAATATATGTCCAATGCAAAGTAACGCGAAGTAACGTGAAGTAATGCAAAGCAATGCTAAACAATGCAAAGCAGTGCAAAGCAATGCGAAGCAATTCAAAGCAATGCATTGCTTCGGGCGGCGACGAGCCAGCCACCCCGCCATTGGGGCCCAGCGGCGGCGGCGACGGGCGGCGACGAGCTGGCCGGAGCGACACCTGGGCCCAGTTACTTCAGGACGCAGGTAAGACCCCCCACGTGCAAGCTCTGTTTGGGGAAGGCGAGGGATGGATTCGAGAGCTCCTGGAGAGGGGGGGGCCCATCCGAGGGAACGGTGGCGGCAACGGACGGCGGCGGCGGGCGGCGACAGGCGCCAGTTACCTAAATTGAGAAGTAGGAGCCCCTAATTGCAAGCACGGTTTGGGACGTCAATGTTTAGGGTCCACGCTGATTATATGACATCTTCATCCTCATCGGCAAAATCAGCATCACCCCTACCTATACGACCACCCTGCGGGTGAGAAGGAGGTTTGGGGGGAGGGGGCCAACAATGGGCATCAGTGGTGATTGTTGTTCTGACGATGCCAGTGGAGATCGTTCTCACTGTCGATCGCACTATCCATCCCACTATCGATCCCACTATCGACCTCGCTATCGATCTCACTATTGATCTCGCTTTCGATCTCACTATTCATCTCACTATCGATTCCACTGTCGTTCTCGCTATCGATCCCACTCGATCGATCTCACTATCGATCTCACCATCGATTTCACGATCGATATCACTATAGATCTCACTATCGATCTCTCACTATAGAATTCACTATCGATCTCACTATCGATCTCACTATCGATCTCACTATCGATCTCACTGTCGATCTCACTGTCGATCTCACCACGGGACACCACGGGACAACGGCGGGACACCGCGCGCCACCGGTTACCAGGCGGAGAACCTTTTGGTCAGGCCGCGGCCCAGCCACGACGGGACACCGGCGAGACACCAGCGGGACACCAGCGGGACACCAGCGGGACACCGGCGGGACACCGCGCGCCACCGGTTGCTAGGCGGAGAAGCTTTTGGTCCGGCCGCGGCCCAGCCACAGGAGAATTTCCTCTCCCCCGCGCACGCAGCTTCGCCTCGCCCGCACGCACGGCACGAACACGAAACCGAAATCTAGTTCCCGGTAGGCGGGCTCTCCGTTCCACTTCGATCTCACCCCCCAGCCTCCGACCTCGTGTCCTCCTCATTCTCCTCGGCTTCGGGTCTAGCGGTCCTCGTGGGGCCAGGCGCGCAGGTGGCCCGGCACGTGCCTGCCGCGTCGGCCGTCCCTCTTCTTATCCTCCTCGTTCTTTCCTTCCCCCTCCTTCTTCGGGTGCCCCGTGTGTCATGGCCCCATGTTTGAAGCGCCGGCTTCTCCCCCTTCTACCGATCGTCTGGGGTACGGGCCGAGAGGTCTCAGTGAAAGTCTCAATCCAATCTCTCGTCCCCACAACCCGCCGATAGGGGCGCGTGCCCAACTCGGGTCCACATCCAAATTCGTTGTCATTCTTCTTCTCGCCCCTTCTCGTGGTCGTCGTCTCCCCCTCCCGACCATCCTGCCCTTTGCGATCGTCGGACGTGCCGCGACCAGAGCATTGTTGGCTCTGGCTTTGGCGCTGGGTCGACAAAAAAAGGCATAACAATTTCACAGAAGGCACAAACAATGCACTCTGAAGGCAAACATGAAGGCAACACATCTAAGGCTATATCAAAGTTTGCGTCAAACACGCGCGGGGGTAGTGGTGTAAGGCTCGCGTGCGCCACGTCAGCGCAGCAGCTCGGACAATTGGTGCGTTTGGACCCCAGGAGGGTTCCGGGAACCGATTTTGCGCTGCCGTTGTCTCAATTCGCCCCTCCGAGAAAGGCGGAGGCAGTGGAAGCGTGGTGGAATGTTGTTCCTGCCCCGAATCTGGATCACCTCCAGGAAGCTGAACACGAGTACCCATCGGTCGTTGAAAGTAGGTATTCTCGGATTCCCAGTTTCCACTCTATTTTAGACGCTTTCCTACTGCAAGGATCGAGTGTTTTGTTATTTTCCTTCGTATTCAAGGGGCAGGCGGAGGTCCAATCTACTTCCAACGCCTTCCTACTTCATGTTTCTACCCGCTTCGTCTGACCAGCGGGTAGATACTGTGGCTGGCTTGGGCGAGAGCTGGGTGGGCTTATGGCCGCATGTCTTACTAGCGCCTCGGTCCTGGCGTGACCGGGTGCGCCAGCCCTCCGTATGTGCATCCAGCGCTTGGCTTCCCCATGCGCTGGTGTGAGCCTGGCCGTGTGTGTGTGTGTGTTCCAGCTTGCTGATACGTCGGCTCGAAGCTTTGCCCGTGATCCCTTGTTGTGCGAGTTGTTTGTTGTTGCATGTGCTGTAGGAGGGTTGACAGCATCAGGAGGAGGAGGACGAGGACGAGGAAAGAGGAGTAAGAGAGAATGACGGCGGATGGGGATGAGGGAGAAGATTAGCTGGAGAGGGTGGAGGGAGGAGGGAGGGAAGAAGGGGAGGACTGATGACAGAGGAACGTCGAGCATCGCGACAGACTTACATTGACTTTCGACATCGACAGAGCAAGCGCCAGGGAGGACACGCTGTCAAAAGGTCAGAGCAGGCAAAGGAGAGGCACGGAGCACCCGAATCTGGACTTGCCAGCCAAAGTGAAACGATTGGCCTTCAGGACGTGATAGAGTTGTTCAAGGATTGTGGTGGCGTGACTGAGGTGCCTCTCTCCCCCCCTCTCTCGTAGCTCATCTCCTGGGTTGGACGAGAAGGGGCAGAGTGGGAGAAGGGGTGCTCACGAAAATTGCTGCATTCAGCTGGTTTCGGCCCCGCCGCAAGGCGTTTTCAATGATGCAGGGCCGCCTCCCGCGCCGGGAGACGCCAGGAAAACCATCTCAATGAATTGATTATGTAACCCCCTTTTGCGATCCACCCGTTTGATCTTGCCAGAATCCCCCTCTCTCCCTCTCTCTTTCTCTCTGTCTCTCCCTCTCTATCTCTCTATCTCTATTGCTCCCTATCTGAGCTGATTGCCCATGCACGTACACGCACGCAGCTGCCCGCAGCTTCATCTGGTCATCGGTTCCCTTGCATGCCACCCTAAGCAAACACTCGTAATAAGAAGCTGCCAGTATTGGGCTGCGGAAAGTGCACGCCGCACCTCTGAGGAAATGTCCCTGCATAAGTTGACCCGAGTGCCAGAGCCAGTCCGTCGTTGTTGAAGCATGTGGAGGGTGAGCTGCAGTAATCTGGCGCGTACTGTGGTCTGCGCCGGCTACTCTTTTGACAGTGCTCTTTCGTGGGACGGATGCCCCCTAACTTGGCAGCTGGCGGACCTGGGGCCGTCAAAACAAAAACGGCCCGACGACCTGGTCCCAGGGAAGGGCTCGAGGGGTCCAGGGGCCGAGTTTTGCAACATCGAAGAGAACGTCGGAGGTCCGGGTCCACGTCCTCCCTTCTCCCGCCTCCCTTCTGCCTCCCTTTGGAGCAGAAGCAGGAGACAGCGGTGTGTGGGCAGCCTGCTCCATGACTGTGGTATATCGCTGTCCGCGTCTCGCTTTCAATGCTGCATCATTGGCAACAGGTCCGAGTCAGCGACCACCATCCCCGTGGCTACTTCTGTCACGTCCAATTCGAAGATACCCAGTGCGTGGACGAGGCCACTCGGAAGAATTGTTGCAGCATGGGTGTCAGCATGCTTACGTGTCCGTGCAGAACTAGGAAGATGGGACTGGAAGGCACATGGAGTGGGGCTTGTGTATGCGCGAAAGACCGTGGAATAATGGGGCCACTTTGTGGACAACCATATGGGGCATCGTTATGGAAAGATGGACGGCGTAAAGAAGAATGGCGGGTCCGAGCACAGTCGTTTCTAAAGACAAACGAGTGGAGGGATGGTAAAGAAGCAGACGGGTCATGGTCAGCAATGAGCACATGATAAAATGGAACGGGCGGGGTCCGCAGACGGATCTGCGTAATCCGCGCATGTCTGCGTCGATAACAGTGACTAGCGACTAGCGCTGTTGCTGCCAGTGATCCCCTAAATGACGTGCCATGGCACCTTGACATCATTCGTAATCCCATATTTCTTCTGCGGCCTTTTTGATCCCTTCTCTTGCAAGGGCCCAGCACCCTCTTGGAGCGCACGCGCTGTGCATCTCCAACTGTTTTTCAAACTGCACTTGCTCGGGAGTCCCCCCAGTGGAAAGCAGAGCGGGCAGGAGCTGAGAGATGAGACACCACAAGACAAAAGGCAGCGCAGGGAACACAACACAGCAGCCTAGCAGCAGCACATCTCACAGCCTGGCGCCCCCAAGAGAGCCAGTATGTGTGTGTGTGTGTGTGTGTGTGTGTGTGTGTGTGTGTGTGTGTGTGTTCGGCATGCGTGCACCTTTGCCTAATCGTGTGATGCGCTGCTCCACTGCTCCACTGTATTGCCAAGGCGATGAGGAAGCAGGGCTGCTCGTTCATGGGCAACCGGGTTCAGATAGATTACGCAACTCCACCTGCAAGCGGTGATAAAGCGCAAGGACGACTTGAGGTCATGGCAGGATGTCGCTGTGAATGTAGCAATGGTGTGGTGAGGTAGAAGATAGGCAGTGCGATGTAGTGGAAACGCAGTTGCACGAAGCATCATGATCCATAGCTTGTTCAAGCTCAGCCGCTGCATCCCTCTGTCCTCTCAAGCGCAGCGGGTCTTCAAACCTCGCCCAAGGCCTACATGGACAAGGTCATGACGAACCCGAAGCATGAGGCTTGAATGCAGGGCTCATCTCGACTCCTCCAATCCGATTCGATCGACTTCGATGGCTTCCGATTCCGATTCGATTCGATTTCGGATTCCGATGTGGATTCCGATGTCCGAATGGAGGCCTGCCGATTTCTGCCGATTCGACTTCTCCCGATGTGGCTGCCGATCTCCGCCGATCCGATTCATGTCGATCGCCGATCCGACTAATCGATCCGATTCTGGGCTCTCCTGGAGTCTGTGGTGCGATGGTTTCGCTCTGCATGTGCTGGGGCGCAGGCCGCAGCCTGGCGCGCGAGGGAGTTTAGGGGCTCCGTCGGCAAAATCTGCACCTCGGCCTCTCGCGGCCAGAGCTGTGGCCGAGAATGCAGCGGCGGACGCTGATGATTTGGATCGGCGGCGAGCGATGGGGGGGGAAGGGAGAAGGAGACGGCCTTCTCAGAAGGCGGCGGAGCTTCTCAGAAACTCCCTGGCCTTCTGAGAAGTTTCCGGTGTCTTCGGGGAAGGCTTAGTTAGAAAATTTCTAGAAGGATGGGACGTTCGAGCCGACTGAGAAGGCCAGCACCCTCGCACTTCCCCACCGGGCTGGCCGCCGATTGGAGACCTGATTCCCCCCCTTGTACCCGGAAGCTTGACCAGCAACATATGTTTCAATATGTCAGCTTGTGCCCGCGGCAAATTCGCCACCGTGCCAGCGAAGCACCTTATGCGGCGGTTCTTCGAGGACCGCCCAGGAGGCCAATACATGTAGCACTTCTCGTCCCTACTTCTTGGAATGGGGCCTATTTAAACCATCTTGGGGCGACCAGACTTGGGCCGCCTAGACTTCCTCATAGGCCGTCTTGGGCCCCGCCAGAGGTCCTCTTGGGCGAGCTTGAGGCTCTTCTGGGGCCGAATGAAGCCGACTGGGGGCTCTCTTTGGGCTTTCAGTGGTTTCTTTGGGACCCTCAAAGGCCGCAAGCGGACCGATCGTCGTCCGAAGGGCGCGGAAAGCGAAAAACATCGAAGCATGAAAGTGAGATTATTGATTTGGGCTTCTCGGGAACTTCCTGGAGAGCGTTTTGGAAGTGTTTTGGGACGTGTTGGAAGCCTTTGTCAGGGGCTCACGGGTGCGTATTGAGGCAATGTTGGGCTGTCTTGGCGGATTTGGTGGCCTTCCAGGGCCGTCTTGGAAGCCGTGGAGAGCTTGGGAAACGCCCAGGGCGGCGTCGGGGCGCCCAGGAAGCCTGGGAGAGAGGGCCAGTGCACGCAGCGGAGCGCGGGAAAATGGGCGGGAGGCATTCTCCTAAGAAAGCCTGTCTTAGCCCGGCCGCGCCGTGCGTGGCATTCTGCCAAGCCCCAGTGTGCCAGGAAGCACGGTGGCGGAGGATGTCTGCGAAGAGGCAGACACGGACAAGGGAGAACAGCGCTCGACGAATAGGCGCGAGGCGATGTTGTGGTGGCGCCCCCGCGCCTCGGCGGCGCGCCAAAGCGGGAATTGAGATGGGGGCAGGCCCCAGAAGGCGGCGGGGCTTCTCGGAAGCCCTCCGGCCTTCTGAGAAGCCCTTTGCGTCTTCGGAGAAGGTTTCGAAAGCTTCTCGGGAGGCCAGAGGCCTTCTGAACCTTCGGAGAGGGCCCGCCACCTCTGCCTTTCCCCCTGGGGGCGCTGCCGATTGTCACAACTCGCCACCCAGAGGCGATCGCCAGCCTCTCTGGGGTGCGGCTCGGGGGGTGGGGGCAGCAGACACCCTGGCAACCGCACCGTCTCGCCGCCCCCCATGGCACGTTCAGAGCCTACTGCGCCAGGAGCTGGGTGATGATGGCAGCTGCTCGCGCAAGGAAGGGGGGGAACAGGGGGGTGGGAGGAGGCCTCTTGGGCCGTTTTCGGCCGTTTTGATTTCTCGGTCGTCGTGAAGCCCGAGCAGGCGAGGGGAATGAGCAATCAGGGGAGTCGAGAGAAAAGGGGGCAGTGGTGGGACCGGGGAAGCGGGGGGGCGCAGCAACTCACAGCGGAGGGCGCGCTGCCCGCTTCTCCTCTCCCCCCTGCGCTCGAAGCCCCCCCCCCCTAGTCCTCAATCCCTATCTTTCACGCCCGGCGGCTTCCGGGTCATAATTCGGGCCTCAAGCGGCTTTTCGGGTCGATCCCCGACATCATTGGAACGCCCTCGGCGAGGCGCAGCTGCTGGAGAGCATCCCGAGTGTGGAACACCGCGGAGAATCCACGAGATCGTCCAAAAACTCTGCCACGCGCGGAGGGGTGTAGGGGGAGGGGAAAAGGCATCTTCTAAGAAGCAGCCACCTTCTAAGAAGCCTTCCCTCCTCCCCCTACCCCCCTTCTGCGCGCCGCCAAGCCTGAAAAACCGCCGGCAGTCCACGAAAACGTCCAAAAACTTCCCTTGCCACCACGCGCCCCCGTTGGGGGGGGGGGCGGCCAGCGGAGCGGCCGCAGGCCAACGCTCCCGGCAGGATCCTGCGCTGCAAGCCCAAGAGCGTGAAGCCGCCGAACGGGCCGCTCCTCTGGGGGGGGGGGCGGGCAGGGTGGGGACCTGGCATCGCTCGGACGTGTGCGTTTTCTTTTCGGCCAGGACCATCGAGGAGGATCTTGGATCATCTTGCGAAGAAGCAGCAAAAGAACAAAACACGCGCGAAATCGGATAATGAACGTGGAATGGACGTCCGAGCGATGGCAAACGGAGGAGGAAGGGTTTTTCCCCGTGGGTCTATGGGGCCCCCGCCTTCGCGTGGCCGCTGGACGGCTGGGGGGCCCTGTGAAGGTCCTTCGCTGCCTTGGAGCGCCCTGGCCACATCCCTCTCTCGAGCATTCCATTCTCGCGGGCCGAGGAGGAGGCGGGGGGGAGGAGGGCACGGCATTCCCGGAAACGGCAGGCGCCGGTCCACGAAGCCCTCTACAAGCGTGTCGCAGTTGCGAGGCCTGGCGTTTAAGGAACAGGACCCACGCGCAGGGCACTTGCCCATTGCCGGACCCCTCACTTGGGGGAGCTTATCCGTCCCTCGGCAGATGCTAGGTCCACACGGGGCGCTCGGCTTGAATTTGGGCTTTATCCGTCTGGACGTAGCCTCTTTCTGAGAGAAGGCTAAGTCGATACGGGGTAAGTCCATACGCTGTGCTCGGTCT